ACGTGGAGCAAGATGAGGAAATTGCTTCTATTGAGACAGACAAAATTGACGTCGCTATCAATGCGTCCGAAAGCGGTACAATCGCGAAACTACTTGTGAACGAGGGCGATACGGTGACGGTCGGACAGGCAGTTATTGAAATAACTCCGGAGAAGCGCGATGCGTCGCAATCTGCAGAGGTCCAACCTGCTACAGAAGCTGCTAAGGAATCAAATGAAGACCAGCCAGCATCGTCCCCTTTGTCTCAACCAGAGACAAAACCCGAGCCTAAGAAGGAATCCACTGCGCCCCCTGCATCATCGAAGCCTGCTGCACCTGTCGCCGGCGTTCAAGGACCCGTGTCAGCTTACAAGGGTAGTCGCGCAGAGAGAAGGGTATATATGTTTTGCAAATTTCGCCTTCGTAGATGAGATACTAAATGTGATGCAGGAGAAAATGACCCGCATGCGCCTCCGCACCGCAGAGCGTCTCAAGCAATCCCAAAACACCGCCGCTTTTCTTACTACCTTCAATGAGGTCGATATGTCCAAGGTGATGGAGTTCCGGGCACAGAACAAAGACAATGTAGTCCAGAAACATGGTGTCAAGCTTGGATTCATGGGTCCAGTTGCCCGTGCATCTGCGCTCGCGTTGAAGGAGATCCCGGCTATTAATGCATCTATCGAGAATGATGATACTATTGTGTTCAGAGATTATATCGATCTCAGCGTTGCTGTTGCGACATCGAAGGGATTGGTTACGCCGGTGTTGAGGAATATGGAGAGTTTGAGTGTGGTAGGAATTGAAAAGGGGATCGCTGAGCTGGGAAAGAAGGTATGTTTAGGATCCGCGTTGTCCTGAGTGTACAACAGACTAACTAGTACAGGCACGCGATGGCAAATTGACTATGGATGACTTGTCCGGAGGTTCATTCACCATCAGCAACAGTGGCATATGGGGATCGCTATTCGGTACGCCAATCATCAATGTGCCGCAGACGGCGGTGCTGGGTATCTATGGAATTCAAGAGAGGCCTGTTGCTGTCAATGGACAGGTCGAAATCCGGCCGGTAAGCTCAATTTATAATGCGTGGTATCCTAGCATTGCTAATTTACTTTTTTTCAGATGATGTATACTGCTCTGACATACGATCACCGGCTGGTGGATGGCCGCGAAGCGGTGACTTTCCTGACCTTGGTGAAGAAGTATCTCGAAGATCCGGCGAGCATGCTAATTGAGTAGATTATGTAAACGATTGCTCTCTGCTAGTGCTTTATTTTCTTGCTTGTGGATTAAAAACACCCTGTACATATCCGTGAAACCTTGTCTTCTGCCATGTTTCCAAATGAAGCTACTTGAATGTATTGTTCGTGGCCTGCATTTAAAGGTATCAACATACTGTCGGACATAGTATCGGATGTGCCGAGGAACGGCATCCCCTTGAAGTTGCCGACCGTTTGGAACATCCGTCGGCGAGAAGCCTTCATACCGATATGCATGTCTCAATCTGCAGAGGATATACTACCGATAACCTACCGAGCTTTACTTAAGATGCGGGGTCCTCCTTTTGTATTTAGTTTTAGGTTGCAACTTATCTGCACTGGTGGGGTCTTCACACTCCGATCTGGTGCTGCAAACGGCCCAGCAAATACATATAACAGTGACAGCACTAACAGCGGCTGATTATACTCTTTATCCCGACACCCCACAAGGCATTTACTTATCACTAGTACAAGAGAGACGATATGTTCATCTCACGGAGTCGAATACTTACCCTACGGCATGTCCAAATTCCATCCCGTCTTCCTCTCGATCTACGGCCATATGTCACTCAAGCAACGACACAGCGCTCAGTTGACAAACTGGTATGCCATCTCTACCAATGTATTTTGTGGACATCAAAGAACCTAACACTGAACAGAGCGAGCACAACAATGACAGCTTCCTCCAAGGCACAGCCTCGACCTACATTGATACCATGTACACATCATGGAAAGCCGACCCGACCTCCGTACATGTATCCTGGCAAGCATACTTCCACAACGTTGAGAATGGACATGTCGCAATCGAGCAGGCTTTTATCCCTCCGCCAGAACTAGTATCTGCAACTTCCACGATACTAAAACCGACAAATGCTACACACGCACAATCGGAGACAGTGAAGCAGCTCAAAGCCATCCAGTTAATACAGGCATATCAGCGCTGGGGCCACGAACACGCCAAAATCGACCCGTTAGGAATGCTCAACGAAGGAAAGGTCCGGAAGAAGGAGCTGTACCTGTCGCATTATGGCCTCGGACCTGAGGATCTAGATATGATCATCCCTGTTGGGTTAGGTGCCCAGGATATCACAGCCACAAAGAGCATGACTCTTCGGGAGGTCATCACCATCTGCGAGGAAACATACTGTGGAAGTATGGATGTCGAGTACATGCACATTTCGGACCAGGAGCAGGTAGAATGGATCCGGAGGCGGATCGAGGGGCCAGAACGTCATGTGTTCTCGAATGACGAGAAGAAGCGTATTTTGGATGGCTTAGTACGTACTACGGCTTGGGAGAAGTTCCTCACTACAAAATTCCCCAATGAGAAGCGATTTGGGCTTGATGGAGTCGAAAGCTACATCCCTGCATTCGAGGCGGCCGTGGACCGATCGGCTGAGAATGGTGTTGAGCATATTGAGATGGGCGTGGGCCATCGCGGGCGCATGAATGCGCTATATAATATTGTTGGAAAAGACGGCGCGTCCATGTTGCGGGATTTCGATTCCAAGGAGACGTCAGCTTGGGGCATACCCGGAGATGTTAAGTATCACTATGGGGGAAGTGGCGAGAGGGTGACTGCTTCGGGTAAGAAGGTGTATATGAACATGGCGCCGCAGCCGTCCCATGTCGAGTCGGTGAACCCCGTTGTTATGGGGAAGACTAGGGCGATTCAAGATGGGAAGAATGGCGACCTTGAGAAGACCATGATGCTGAATGTGCATACCGACGCGGCTTTTGCAGGCCAAGGAACAGTGTATGAGACGCTGGGACTGGCTGCATTGAAAGGGTACGAGATCGGCGGAACGTTAAGATTCATCGTGAACAACCAGGTTGGATTCACTACGGATGCCTGGCAGGCGAGGTCGTCGCCATACTGCACGGACGTGGCGAAGATCTTGGACGCACCGGTTATTCATGTCAATGGTGACGATGTTGAGGCAGTGGTTCTTGCTGGTATACTCGCCGCGGATTTCCGGGCAACGTTCAAGAAAGATTTCCTCGTTGACATCGTTTGTTATCGACGCAATGGACATAACGAGATGGACCAGGCCTCATTCACCCAGCCAACGATGTATGAGCGCATCGCGGAGAAGAAGAATATTCTCGATGGGTATGAGGCTAGCATGATCTCAAACGGCGTCGACGTGGAAGAGGAGGTCCAGAGGATGAAAGATAAAGCCTGGGCAGAGCTTATAGAATGTTTAGACAAGAGGAAAGATCAGAAGCCTGATCCAAAAGAGTGGCTAATCGACTCGTGGAAAGGAATGAAGGCGCCAACAGAGTCAAATACGAAGACACAACCACCGAAGGTGACCGCAGTCAGTCACGAATCCATCGAGGCCGTGTCTAAGAAGCTTGGAGCGGAGGTCCCGCAAGGCTTCGAGCTACACAAGAACCTAGAAAGAATTCTTTCTCGCCGGCAACAAACAGTGAAGACTGGAAAAGATATTGACTGGGCTACTGCCGAGGCTCTGGCATTCGGAACGATTCTTCGTGAGGGCACAGGAGTCCGAGTAGCCGGACAAGATGTCGAACGAGGAACCTTTTCTCATCGCCATGCTGTCCTCCACGACCAACGAACCAACAAAACATACACACCTTTAAGCACCATCAGCCCAGGCCAGGGCTTATTCACCATAACAAATTCGTCCTTGAGTGAGACTGCAGCAATGGGTTTTGAATTTGGCTACTCTTTGGCAGATCCAAATGCTCTTGTGATGTGGGAAGCCCAGTTCGGCGACTTCGCAAACAACGCTCAGGTCATTATTGATAACTATATCGCATCTTCTGAGAAGAAGTGGCTTCAGCGCTCTGGCGTGGTTCTTTCGTTGCCTCATGGCTACGACGGCCAAGGACCGGAACATACTTCAGCCCGCTTGGAGCGATTCCTGCAATTGGGCGACGAAGATTCGAGGCATTTCCCATCACCAGAGCAGCTCCAGCGCCAGCATCAGGATGCTAACATACAGATTGTGTGCATGACAAGTCCTGCAAATTATTTCCACGTTTTGCGTCGGCAAATTCACCGGGACTTCAGAAAGCGTATGTTTTCCTTTCCGATATCCCGTACCCCTGCTAACGAATGTAGCTCTTATCATACTCTTTTCCAAGTCCCTACTGCGCCACCCCCTTGCACGTTCGGATATTGAAGAGTTCATAGAGACTCCCTACTTCCAACCATTGCCCCCCGAAACTCAGCACGGCATTAGCATCAATAAGCCGGAGGATATCAAGCGTGTCATCTTCTGTTCTGGCCAAGTGTATGTGGCGCTCTACAAATATCGCGAAACTCATGGCCTCAAAGATACGGCTATCACGCGGATTGAAGAACTCCACCCGTTTCCGTGGGAGCAAGTGAGACAGAATCTGGAAAACTACCCAAACGCAACAGATGTTGTTTGGTGCCAGGAGGAAACACTTAATGGTGGCGCTTGGGGCCATGTTATGCCCAGGTTTGAGGTTATCTTGGCTGATACGAAGCGTCATACAGATAAAAAGGTACGGTATGCAGGGAGAGAGCCAATGTCGAGCGTTGCAGTGGGGTATAAGGTGCTTCATGCCATTGAAGAAGAGAAGGTCATGGGTGATGCGTTTCAGGTGTCCCCCCGTCAATGACCAATTCTTCACATAGCTTTAATCGGAAAGCTACCAACATCTTTATTATTATAGTAAATATTCGAAAATAAATAGTCTTTATATAAATGGATGTGCTTCGTATATCGTTATTCGTGAGACCATGTCAACCCCTCCTGCAGCTCACTCCCTCCCAGACAACGCCGCAATCAAAGCTGCACCAATTCCCGACCCGTCCTCTGCAGGCACAAAGGTGATCAGGTCCTCTGAACCGTCAGGCCACTCGAGGATCTCTCGTAAAGCAGCTGCCGCCCGCTCCTTGAACCGGAAAAGCTTCTCAAAAGTAGACCCATCCACACCAACACGGCCTTGACGAATGCCCTCCTTCTTACAGATAGCTGCAATCCCGCACGCATACAACCTAGCTGCGCGAGTACAAACAATTTCCCCAAGACGACAACAGACACGGAGTTCTTCGCATGTTGGCTCAATGCCGAATTCGTCTTTCAGGAATTTTCGTGTCTCCGCCATCGCGCTATCCTGCGCTGACCCATCCTCTTCCATCCTCGACACACACGACGATTCCATAGCGTGAATATGTCGCAGACGACCGAGGTCCATGTTCTCCAGGTAGCCAGCTTTCTCATGTAGATGGACAATAATCAGTCGTACTATCTCTCCCACGTACAGCCCAGCCACATCTTTTCGTATGTCTGTTGACCCGGTCGCGGAGAAGCACGGTCAATCTCGAGATCGAATTGGCATCGCGGAAGAACGCGATGGCTGTTATCAAAGGCGCCATACTCAGTGTTGATTGCAACATATTGGTCGGCGGGGAGACGGTGCTCTGCGATCTTCGGTACGCGCCCGATCTTTTCCATGTATGCTGAGTTGCACCCGGTGCCGAAGATGCTACCAATCTTGATCTCGGGGTCTTTGTATGCCGATGCGATGAGCGTTCCAGTCGTGTCATTCACTAGGGCGACGATGTGCACAGGGACGTTCTGTCGATAATAAACGAGTCAGTGCTGTGATACCTAGATGATATAATAAAAGAGCTTACCCTCTCCTCAAACGCCTCTTCCAACTGTGCAACAACATCCTCACCCTCTACCCCTGATACATCCCATCCCTTTGTCCAACGTTGCAAAACTCCGTGTCGAATGTTATTCTGCGTCACCGGGTAAGAGAAAGTAAACGCGAGTGGTAGTTTCTCGCCCGGGCGGGGAGTCAATTCACGCTCGCGCAGAAAGTCTGCCACACGGTCTGCAATGTACGCCCATAGCTCCTGCGCATTACCTGTCTTCAAGCCACTAGGTAACTTGAACTTGCTTTGTGTAATCTTGTATCCTCCTTTCTCTTCTGTCAGAGTGACGTTGCATACGCGAAGATTGGTTCCGCCCATGTCCACGGTCAGGTACTGGCCTGTTTCGTGGCCGGTCGGGGATTTGGTAACCCAGGTCACGTTCATTGGCTGGCATGTGTCAGTTTATAAGGCTTTCTAGGTGGTGAGACAGGCGTACAATGTCACTATCGGAGTTACCCAGTCCTAAGCAGAGAACATGTCAGCCTTCATTCGGATAGGTGCGATGCGGTGTGATTGGAGTGGTATGCGAACCCTTCTCCATCTCCTTCACAAAATGGTCGGTGATATGTCGAAGAGTGTCTCCATCGACACGGAACATATCTGCGATCTTTTGGACCTCTTCTGACACTTTCTCCGACACTCCTACGCTGCAGTGTCAGTCCAGGGCTCTGCAGAACATGTGACGAGGAGGGTAGTATACCCTGCGGGAAGTGGATGCCCGATCCGGGAGCGTCCTGTGGTTCCTTCATTTCGACAACTAGCAATATGATATCCTAACTAACGATGAACAAGAAAATGGTGTTCAAGTGAGATGATGAGCCTTTTCGATTGGTTTTATATAGCCCAGATAAGTAACACAATCACCTCCTCTTACGTATAACTTCGGTCTACAGCTTGGCCCTCATGAAGCAATACCCACATCTGACGATCAGGCTAGTTAATCATCCGCGGGTTTGCTCCCAACCAGTCATAGCCAAGTTTTCTGGATTACTCTATTTCTAGACCGGTACACAATGTTCCGAGAACAGTAGGACCGGCATCTTCAGAGCTCGGCGATGGATCGGGTTGACTTCAGGATGACGTCGGCCCGAGGCGGGTCCGCGGAGTGGTCCCTTCCGGCGTCTGGTTGATAAGATGGTTGGATCTGCATGGCCTTGTTTCAAGGCAATGCTTATCTAGAGCTTATCTAGAGGCTCTTGGCTCTGGGTCTATGTCTTGTGGAAGGGTCTAGAAAGTGGTAGGCGTTGATAATGTAGTGATCCCATGGAGTATTATCATGTTAAGATGGGTTATAAGCTCGCAGTTTTTTCGTGGCACCGTAATGTTCATGGCGTCTAGCAGGTTATCTAGTTAATTCAATCCGCGGGTTATTTTTATCGTATTGGTGTTTCCAGAATGATCTAGATCCCACACATGCCGTGTCTCGAGCAGCGAAAAGGGTTCCAGATCACATTTCCTTGTTATCCCTGGTCAATCCACTTGTCCCCAACGCATTCAATAACATGTGGCATGTGTTGACACAACTTCCAATTAAAGATACAATCAAGAACAGGGTTGAAACTAGTCCTCCGCCCAAAGCTCATAATCAGGAAAATACCGATCATGAATCCTATGCGCATAGTCTACCAGAACTGGTAACCCTCTCACGATCGCCTGCGTTTCAGGACATCTGTACATCATTAGCACTCCCAACCTACTACTCCCCAAAACAGGAAACTTACGCGGTACAGATCAAAGCCCCAACAATGAACCCAAACAGCGTAGCATCAGCCTCAGTCGGATGCTGACCCCCAAGCACCCAATATGTTCCCTTCCGATCACTCTGTAACCTAGAGTCCTCTAATAAGGCGTTAATATCCTCCCATATCTGTTTCTTAAATGCACTCCGTTCTTCTGCCGAATAGCGTAATGTCCCTTGCCCGTGCAACGTCTGACACTGTTTCCGGTAGATGAGATGTCCCACGATGACTCGGAGAGGATACGGCAGTGAGGCTAGGATATGTTCCCGCATGGAATAGTAATTGTCAATCCATTTTTCATAACCCTATTTCTCGTCAACCAAACACGAAGTACAGACAGGGCGGATGGTAATAATACCTGCAAAAAGTACAGTTTGTCTTCCAACAACGCTCTAATCCCCGAGTCAAGAACCTTGTCCTGAACGGTCAAATCGCCATTTAGGTCCGGAAGGATACCATCATTGACAAAATTTTGTATGATGAGATCCGAATCAGACATTGTCCGAACATGGTCCGTCCCGGATTTGTCTTCATCGCATACAGTAACATACGGCACTTTCCCCCGTGGCGCCGCACGCACAGACCCACTTTCAGTGCGATAAGATAGTCCTCTAAACCGAAGCCGGACTTCAAGTTTCGTGACGAAGGGTGACCATGTGTAGATACCCGTGCCGGGGAAGCCGCGGTATAGGGTTATTTCTGGTTGTTTCTGGCTGATTCTCATTGTGTCCCAGCTTAGTTGTGTCCGCGGGTTGGTTCGCTGAGATAGTGACGATGATGGGTGGTTGAGAAGCTTCTTAAAGCGGGTTTTGCGATTATCTGCAAAGACCGAGAGTGGATCGGGCTCGTGTTGGGTAGAGAGGACGAATTCTTATTCGCCGGTCGAATTAGACTTATCCTAGTGTGCTTCTTAGCTGTTTCATTGAGTGTGAGGGGCGAGAAAGAAATAAACAAGGTCAATTGACAAACCAATGGTATCAGTAATTAGGGGTATGCTGCCTAGAATGCTGCCTGGATCCTGCTCTTGCGGGGACCCTACAACGGACGCTAGATCCTTCGTTCGGGGCTGTAAAGCTGGACGAACACTCATGACCGAAATTCTGTTCCGCTTTGTGAGATTGATCGTTGATCGGCTTCAGAGGACGGGTCAAGAAGCGACAACAGATGTATTATTACAATATAATAAAGGAGATATATAAGGCTTCCACCTATGCAAGTTATATAGCCCGGTAAGAGTGCGCTGACTGCGCTGGAATCGAGTAATCGCGTCTAGCTATGTAAGCTAGGCTTAACCACTCAAGCAATGGCAAAAGCGCCCGCGACAATAGCAACAGCAACACCAAAGGGTCCGCAAGGCAGAGAATTGGCACCGTTTGTCGGGACAACACTGTTGCTTCCCGCTGCCGTGCTGGTAGTAGTCGTTCCATTTCCAGTTTCCGTACCAGCTGAGGAGGTCGTATTTGTCGCCGTAGTCTTCGTAGCCGGAGACAGATGCTTATACGCCGCCAGGTTGGACGTGAAGATGCTCGTTGCGCTCATTTCCTCCTCAATGCCCTCCGTGCCATCCCAGCTCGATTTGTACCAGTGCTGTCCACAAGTTGTGTTACTACTTCCGCCACTGCATTGCTTCGCAGCGCCAACAGCCGAGCCTTGTAGGCGCGGGAGAATGTCGGATGATGTATATGGCGCAAGCATGCTGGTGAAGGTGAGACTTTCTGCCAGAAGACCCTTGAAAGTTATCTCGTTGTCGTTACAGACGTTCGCGGGTTCACAAAGCACCTCAGACATGATCTCACCGCCGAACTTAGCGGGGAAGAATGTTTCTAAGGTACTGTTCAACAACCCATCCAAGGCTGTCTTCCATTGCGTGGTCTCTCCGTTTGTCTATCTCTTGTTAGTCCTCTGTCCTATACCCAGAGCGTGCATAACCACTTACGTAGTTGTACATATATGCCGCGCCACTCAGATACACCGCGTAGTTATACGACCACTGATTGTTACCGAGGTTCGTACAACCGTTTGCCGCATCAGTACTATCAGCGACATTCCAACTTTCCTGATTGACTAGAATTAGGGTACTCCAATCCCAGATTGTGTTTGCCCAATCGACATAGGTCTGGTTGTTGGTATACCGAGCCAACCGCGCAGCGAGTTGGAACAAACCCCCATTGCTCATAGCGTTCTTCATTGTGTATCCGGCTTGGTAAGGCCAAATCTGCCACCGAAGACCACCCTCGCAGGTGCTGTTGTCCCAGCGGGCGGATTGCACATCGAATACCCGCTCCGCTAGATCCACCCACGACGGCATTCCAGCGTCCTCCGGGTAGTTCAGCTCTGCCGCAGTCATGGCGGCGAGGCCCCAGGATACCTGGTCGTCATTACCCATGTATGAAGACCAGTTGCTCGGCATATAGTTGTTCCCGGCGCCACGTTGGTGGTACATGCCTTGGCTGACGGCGGCGTTGTTGGATGCGTCGTCGGTGAAGTACCAGTATCGGATCATGGTGTCGAAGAGCACGCTGCCTTCCCACCAGGTGTTGTTGATGTATCCGGGGATTTGGCCGGTCTGGTTGCCGGTGTAGTAGGACATGGCGTTAAAGGCGGCTGTGGCGGCAGCATCTTTGATGGATTCTGCGAGGCGTCAGAGGGGTTCGCTTGCATGAGTGATGGGAGATGGGAACGTACGTTCGTCGGTGATGTCGAGATCGATTGCAGCGGGGGTACCGGCCAAGGCGGCGACGGTGAATGCCGCTGCTATGTAATGAGCGAATACCATGGTGGTTGTGTAAACGAGTGTGGTTGATGATCAGCGAGAAATCATGGGAATCCTCGGGCGGCTTATATTTCATAAGAACCAGCATAAGAATCTCAGATTTGGGTGGGTTGTAAGTGGACATGAGAGTTTGACCATGTGGTTCGGAATGGAGTTAAGTTCACCACGGTCTCCTTCCGGGAGGGGTGAATGCCCCCAACGAGGCTTAGACTTGACACGAAGTGGAGGGTGCACGATAGTCACAGGGGCGGAAAAATGCTCGAACGGCACCAAAGGCCTTCGATAGGACAAGTTTCAGGGTCCAAAGGCGCTAGAACAGCTGGGGTGATAATGATTTGCTGTTTGCTTATGGTTCATTTCGGTTGTTTTGTTAGCGTCAGTCAAAGTCTGGGGCGGTTAGGGCCCGTTCCACTGGACATGGCCAATGAGCCTCATGACCATCCCCAGCTCATTATTCGGGATTCTGATATGAGGTTTTGGGTGGTCCGCATTGAATAGTGTCTGTAACAGCTTTTTAAGATATCCATCCCAGTTCTCTGATCATTCTTCTTGGGGTGATCCGTTCGCTCACCATCTAACTCAATAGTTAATTAACCAACTATTTGCAACCTCAAAATCTTAGTCAGCGGGCTTCTTACGCAGGATCCAAGATGCCTCAGGTATCTGCAGGGTGATCCACCACAGGCATGTTGCTTACCATGGCTGAGAGCAGCTTGCCATTGTTCTGAAGTCGATTGTATTTAGGAGAAAGTAATGCCTGAAACTCTAGGCTACAACTGTTTATGGCTTTCACTCTAGATTTACAACTCTGCGGGGATTTTTGATAAACTAGCTATCAATGAGTCGATTATCAACTCCGTAGAAGCTCGGGTTTCAAGGACGGGCGGGCAATTGTTTAAGTCAACTAACCTACTTAATGACATGAAGGTTCATGGGCCCAAATAAGCAGGTTCGGACTTGGCCTCTAGCCACAGCGAGCCGAGGTATCATGAACCTTTCGGGCGAGCGTTGCCATGTTTATCACCGCTATTTATAAGAATGCAAGTATGAGCAGCTGTGTAACAGCCTAAGATCAACTCAGTCATCTGCTTCTTTCTAACAAAATGCTTAGGCCGGTGGAATCGCATGTACAAGTCTAGCGTAGAATGGCTACACATCAGTTCTTATGGTCAGAATACACGAATAGTCATGATAGATCAAGAGCAGAAAACGATTGAATTATCTGCTTACTTTACATTTTCCTGTGTCTAGACCTGCTTATAAATCGTTTTATGAGTGCTGCCATTGCAAGATTGATTTTACTGGAGCAGTAGAGAGATAAGAAAAAAAAAAAAAAAAAAAAAAAAACCCACATTTTCAAAGTTCTCTATTATGTATTGTACATAGCCTGACAGTTACCAACCAGCAATAAATAGTAAAAGTGTGAGTACAACGCTATGTGCTGCTGCTATGGGAAGTATGTGAGTGTCAAGATAGCTAAGCAATAGAAATAGAATATGATTGGACCAGCCACAGCCGAGCCCCGCGAGGCTGAGCAGCTAGTCAACTACTAAGTGATGAGTAGCTAGTTACCAAATGAGGCATATGACAAGGCTGTCAGACATGGGTAAGATCGCGCAGAACTCCTCAACAACACCCTCTTCCACGTCATTGAAAGAACGGCAACGGGAATATGACAATGAGAGAACGCCAACCTCGTCGCGAAGACTACACCGTAGGCTGGGTCTGCGCTCTGCCAATCGAACTAGCAGCCGCACAAGCAATGCTAGACACCGAACACTCCAGCATACGCCTGCAGATCAACGATCCCAGCATATTTATTCTGGGAAATATCGCCGGGCACAACGTTGTGATTACATGTCTCCCAGATGGACAGATAGGCACCAGCTCCGCCGCGACCGTGGCAATCCAGATGCGCTCTGCGTTTCCATCCATCAGGTTCGGCCTCATGGTGGGAATCGGCGGGGGTGTTCCCAGTCCTGAGCACGATATCCGGTTAGGAGATGTGGTTGTTGGTCGACCAGATAATCAAACTGGGGGCGTGGTGCAGTATGACTTTGGGAAGAGCACGTCTAATGGGTTTGTACGCACGGGGTTTTTAAATGCGCCCCCGGTTATTCTGTTGAATGCGGTGGCCTTGTTACGGGCCAGGCATTTTCTGGGGAGGGGAATGATGTCTGAGTATATGGAAGGGCTTAAGTATATGCCCGCATTCACGCACGATAGAGATAAGAACTGGGACATCTTGTTCGAGGCGGGATATAACCATGCTGGGGGCATGACGTGTGATGCATGCGATAAGGAACAATCGATTCAACGCGACGAACGTGAAGGCCATGATATTAAAGTGCATTATGGAACGATTGCGTCAGGGAATCAAGTACTAAAGGACGCGCATGAACGAGACCGACTCGCAGCAGAGTTAGGTGGGGTGTTGTGCTTCGAGATGGAGGCTGCCGGGCTGGTGAATAATTTCCCATGCCTGGTGATCCGAGGCATTTGTGATTATTCTGACTCGCATAAAAACAAGGGATGGCAGCCTTATGCTGCCGGGGTGGCGGCTGCTTATGCGAAGGAGTTGCTGTCGGTTATACCACCAGGGCATGTGGAGAAAACGAGACCTATGAGGAGAAATGGTCCGTGGTCATTCTTTGTTCGCTTCGAAGTATATGTTATGCTTACTGACTATTGTAGCTCCCCGAAAACTATTCTTGGTTCCATTCCAGAGAGATGGAAACTTTACTGGTCGTGATTCTATAATGAGTGAGCTGGGTAGACGATACGATGCAGCCACATTTGAACGTTTTCTCAGCATAGCTCTCGTTGGAGATAAAGACACAGGGTGAGAAAATTATTGTGATGCTAACAATGATAACCCTCACTAACAGAGTCAGTAAATCACACATTGCCCTTGAATACGCATACCGTAGCCCCCAACATGTGCCCTGGCTATCCGTATTCTGGGTCAACGCAAGCAGCATCTCCCGATACAGAAGGTCTTATCAAGATATAGCTAACAGTCTTGATCTACCCGGAAAGGATGACCCAGCCGTCGATGTCGTGGAACTGGTATCGGAATGGCTAGCTGACGAAGAAAATGGGCCATGGCTAGTTATTCTGGACAATGTCATTAACGTGGGTGTTTCCCAAGAGACGGGGCTTCCTGTTCTGCTTGAGGATGACGTGACGGAGACGATTCCGATTGTTTCGTCGTCCCCAGAAGCAAAACATGGATCTTTGCTTGTCACGTCGCGCAATTTGGAGGCTGCAATGAGTATAGTTGGTTCAGCTAAGAACATTGTCCATGTCCAGCCAATGGACGAAGGGCCGAGAAGTGCAATTGGGATTGGGCATGATTTGCTGGCTGACCTGGCTCTGGACAGCCCAAAAGATGGTCGGACACCATTATCGTGGGCTGCAGAGGCTGGGATTGTGCCAGTCGTGAAATTATTGCTTGCTACTGGTAAAGTGGACGTTGATGCCAGAGACTCACATTATGGTCGAACGCCTCTATCATGGGCTGCGGGGGCTGGGCATGCAGAAATTGTTCAGCTCCTTCTAGCAACCAACAAAGTCGACATCAACTCTGTCGACTACCAAAACCGGCCGCCACTGACCTGGGCACTCTTTAATTCTCTCGAGCGAATGAAACCGGTAGTTAAGCTGCTTCTAGCCACCGGCCAAGCTGACCTAAACATCCGCGATGAAACATCAGACCGCACAGCCCTTTCGTGGGTGTGTGGAATGGGCCACCTAGAGCTTGTCAAATCGCTGCTCGAAACCGGCAAGGCGGATGTCAACACCATAGAGAAATACCACGGACGAACGCCGCTTTCCTGGGCTGCGTTTGACAAACATCAAGAAATCATGAAGGTTTTGATTGCTACTGGACAGGCAGACTTGGAAGCAAGAGATAACGAAGAGGGCCGGACTGTACTGTCTTTGGCGGCAGGGAATGGACTTGAAGCTGGGGTGAGAGCTTTGTTAGAGACTGGGAAGGTGGATGTTAATTCCAAAGACCGGAATAGGAGGACACCACTATTCTGGGCATTGAGGAATGGGCATCAAAATACGGCACTTCTTCTGGAGGAGGCTTTGAGCGGATAAATATACTTGTATAGTATTACTTCCTATAGAGTAGGTCTGCTACACCCAAGCCCCCTAGCTCTTAGGCTGCCCTAATAGATTGCATCTTGCATTGATATGACCTAATCCCTTTCTAAGCTTAGCTGCCATGTAACCGATGCCACTTACTCATTGATATAGTGTCAAGCTAACCACACCTTGGACTAAATTACATCTGACGTCTCACAGAAGCCCCACCGACGATAGCAGCCTACCAACAGACTAGTATATTCCCCTCGTCCACACGAGACCATGCGGTCCATCCATCTGAGCTCATTTTCTAGGCTCATAGATCCGGAATGGCACCAAAGAGTCCCAGCACCCAGCCTCGAGGAAATCACCCGTGATATTTCTGACAGTGGTGCCATTGCCGAACTCGAGAATCAGGCCGCCCGATGGAGCAGTCGCGTTAAACGCGGGCCAACCCACAGTGGAGCTGACCGTGGAGGGATCTTTGAGGAACGCCAAGATGTGATCCTGCATGGCCTTCGACGTCGCAACTTCTAGGGCTGATACATTGCCTGCATCTGTCATATATGTGCCGAATATCATCAACAGATCCGACCAATGGAATGCACCAAGGTACGGGACTGGGCTAATATTGGAGAAATTTCCAGCCCATTCATAGCGGTACGTCTCAAGACCTAGGGAGGCCCGACGGATAGAGTCCTCGTATGCGGTGCAGATCCATTCGCCTTCAACTTCCATTGTCGTGGACTCCGATGTGCTGGCTTGTTCTCGTGAGGCGTCCGAGCGGATGGCTGGGCCTCGTGCAACTCGACCCGCAGCATAACGCGCCGACTCGTTGGAGAAGATGTACTTTTCGTCGGCTAATCCACGTAGTCAATCAGTGATGTTCATATACAAAATACACAATCATGGGGTTGTGGGTGGACGAACGGATATAATTGGAGAAGGCGATGGATTGAGTGCCGTTGTAACGGTTGATATACTCTTCAATCTGTACCCATGACACTTGGCGCATACATTCCAGCTCTGCCTCTGCGTCGTCTCCATAGTTGCATCCGAGGCCTTTCGCGACAATGTGGAAGTCTTCGTATACATCCTCTGTCTCAGTGAGATTGATTGTCACCGACGGAGGCTGGGAGATGACACCAAATTTTGCCACACGAGGGTCATCTGGAAAGGCAAGAGTAAACAGGTGAGTGAGTGCCGCTCCCTGGGATTGTCCCCATAGCTGAAACAAAGTTTTGATTAGGTTAACATGATCTTCGTGGACTGGAATTTCTTACCATGATATTGTCTGGGTCTCCACCAAATGCCCGAATGTTCTCGGCTACCCATTCTACTGCGGCCCGCACATCCAACAAAGTCAGAGATGTCTCAGTCAGAGCTTTCGATTTAGGATCTACATCGAGTGATAGTTAATCAGTTAGCACGAGTCATTTGCGTGATAGTGGTTCAACATGATCTTACTGCCGAAGATGTTGACCCGATAATTGATCGTTACGACAATATGTTCCTGGGAGTTCGATACCCAGTTTGATGGTAGCTGGGATGGAACCTCAATTCCGCCAGTGACACCGCCACCACCTGTGACAAAAAGAGCTACAGGCAGATTTGATGTCTTGTTGGCAAACGCTGGGGTCCACACAGCTAGTGACACACAGTCCTCTGAGGAGGACCAAGCAGTCGATCCCTGATTGGGTGCCTCCCCAATACTCAGCAGAAGGCTTGTAGGTGCATACTCTGCCCACATGCTGCTCCCAGAAGCAACATACTGCGGACAGGCTAGATGCGAGGTCATCAAAAGGCTGCTCGGCTCGGTCACGCTCACATCACAAGTCACTCACCAGGTCCAAAGCGAGTAGAATCGCTTCTCTTCGATGAGTTGGCCAACTTTTGAGGCGGAAGCCATCTGAGATCCCCGACTGGCGGCTAGTAATATAAAATGATACTATCAGCCTCGAACTTCTTCAATCATTGATATCTAGCTTTGGGCGTACCTGTGCATAGGGAACCCGAAGAAATTGGCGGACATTCGGGTATGTATCGTTCAACATTCCAATAAAGGTTCCCGTTCGTGTCTCCACTGTCAAGTTTGACCAGTTGGATAGCGACCTCGCCGGTTGCCACGATAAGTCTGCATAGTATGGGGGGTACAGCTCTCCAAGCGCGAGAGTAGTGAGCCCTGCCCAGACCAACGAAGCAAAAAAGGCCACCATATTAATTTGTCACCAAACGGAGAGATTACACTGAAACGCAGGTTTATTTTCGTTGAATCAGGGCAATGCGGAGAGGACTATTTATGTATGCGAGCACGAAGAGGCCTCACATCTCACGCGGAGTCTAAGGTTAATACAGGGTCTGTACCCCACTCTGCGGGGGAAGTTAGGGTCCTAGGAAGGACCTCGTCATCACTTATTTGAACAGAGTAAAGCTCAGATACTCAGACTTGGCATACGCCCGCCCTTTCTAACCGAGAGGTCCAATTACCCGTGAGTTGGAGTTAGTCTCGACTAGACAACCATTCAAACGTATCTCCACATACCTATCCACAGTTTAGGTAGCCGAATCTGGGAATGATATACATCAGGCCCTGGTCTCTTTATGCTACCTAATCAATACTGAATCCTTTATCCGGCATCCTTGCAGGTAATTCCTCCAACGACAACAGCAGCCATGGCCCTTCGCTGAGCGGCCAGCTATTCCGCCGATATTAGTCCGCCCAGACTAAGTTCGAACTCCCTACAGAGCAGAACACAGCGAATAGAATGGTCAATCGTCTGGTGTGCCGTGTGTTCCCCTACTCTTCCTGGGGCTACACGTACAGTAACGGTCATATCGCATGAAGTGTCTCGTATAGTAGCCCTTGAGTTGCGGCATTTTTCATGGACAGGAGATCTGTTTCCAATATATTCACGCCACCGTTCGGCTTTGCTTGGTGATAGTCTACGCTATAGTAACATGGCAGGACATGAGTTCCTAAGTAAGCAACTTGAAAGTAGTACCACGCGTTCCAACCAAGCAAATACTGAGACCAGGTCTCTAGATTCAAGTGGAACCAGATGCAATGGCAGCTTACGCACCAGGGTCGGTGCCAAGCGATGATTTACTATCCCGATCCCCGGACTCCACTATTTACTGTCCAATAGACAACCCCATCCGCAAGCTCTTGTCGCCTGATTCAAATAAAGGGTAGTTGTGGATTACAAGGTGTCGACCCGTGTCTTGGTCCTTGGTGAAGGAAACTAAAGCAGTTCAGCAAACTCCGATTTCCCATGTTATCTGATAGGACATATCGCTCCGTCTGCCCAGGTAGACGGAATATATCTTTCCCGGTGTATGGCGCCTGCAATCTTGTCTCCGTGTCGGATGACCGACGCTGCATAGTGGTCCGAATTTATCTGTGCTTTAGCTTAATTGGCATCTATGAGAATATTGGTTATAGCTGTCTTGTAACGGCTGACCCTCAAGGTGTGGGTCCAAGCCCACCACCTTATACCTGGCCCTTCTGTAACCCTACATCTGTGACAAATTAGTTGATATAGTGTCCGAGATCCGACATTCAGCTATAACGAAGCACCGTGGTCTTCCGATTCCCTAACCTCACTCACCAGAAATTCCACTAATGTGCCCATCAAACTAGGCAAGATTTCGTAATCCCCTTTGTTGATCTGATGGCTTCAAGGTGGAGAAGAGCACGAGGCGACGACGCAGTCTGTCTTGGCTGGTCCATACCTTTTTATGATAGAGATCGACCGACGTAGAGCTAGAGGAGATTGCTACAGATATATAACATGTCTCAAGCACCAGAGACACTCTTTCAACTTACCGCAATTTTTCTTCTACCTGTCGTTGTGCATCTAGTACTGTTATCACTGTCCTCGCATTATGCATTTCCGCTGGGTATTAATTCCCCTGGCAGCAACCCTGGCTGCTGGGGTACCTACCAGCACCACCACGACCGCTTCGTCCACTATGCCCTCTGTGGCGTTGGACTATTGCACGGTGGTAGCTGCTGTGGGAAATGACAGTGTAGGCTTATACCGCTATCAGAACATTCGCTTTGCTGCCCCCGTCACCAGCGATCTGCGATTTGCAAAGCCAGAATGGCCACCCGTTGAGACCGAAACCAACTACGGCAACATCGTCTCCGAGTCGATTGACTGCAGCACCAGCGAAGACTATCTGTTCCTTGACGTGTGGGCTCCAGCCAACAGCACTGGCAAGAAACTACCGGTGCTGATGTACATCTACGGAGGAGGTTTCACCGGTGGTAGCAAGATTCAGAGCACCCCTGAAGGCCTCTTTGATTTGTCCAAGGATTTCATCTATGTCGCTGCTAACTATCGCCTGGGAGTGACGGGTCTGGCTAACGGCCCTACCTTCCAGCACGAGGGAGGTGCCGCGAATGCTGCCGTCTGGGATGTCACTCAGGCCCTGGAATGGGTGCAGAAGTACATTGGCTCCTTTGGCGGTGATCCCGACGCGGTCACCCTTTCAGGATTTTCCGCTGGTGCTTCTCAAGTGATGTTTCAGTTGACAGTAAGTGGCGTTCTCAAAAGGAGTTCATTTATGGTTGCTGACACATACCACAGCGATTCAGTGGCCGTGCGCCTCAACTCTTCAAGGGGGCATACATCATGTCTCCTGGATATGTGCCTGGAGCCGGTCACCATCAAGCTGAAGTACACACCCCTCATTTTTTTTTTCTCTTTCCTTCCAGCTAGCTCACCATCACCACAGGCTTACTGGCAGAACGTATCGACTGCAGTCGGCTGCCCAGGCGGAGACATTACCTGCATGCGCTCCGTGAACTACACTACCCTGATGACCATTGGCAGCGAAGTCGCTAGCAACTACAGCTACCAGCTGCAACCTCGTGTTGACGGAAACATAGTTGCTGATACTTGTATTCCCCCTTTCCTCCGTACTTCATGATGACGAAGCTGACAACTCCCAGACGAGGCACAATTGTACCAGAAGAACTTCAACTTTAGCGGACCTCTTGTGATCTCCCATGAGCGCCACGAAGAAAACAGCCAGAGCTCCAACACCGTCACCAGCGCAGCAGATATTGCTGCCGAGCTGCAAATGTACTTCCCCGCCATCACCGATGACGTGATTGAAGAGATCCTCGAGCTTTACCCTGCCTCGCATTACGCCAATGCAGGTTACCGTCTGTCTGACATCCGTCAAGGTTTTGACATGACCGGCAAAAATTTGGCTCTGACTCAGGCGCTGCATAACGAGACATGGAATGCTATTGTTAACCTTGGGGAAGCTACACACGGTACGGATCAGACTTATTACTGGTATAGTACTTATAGTACTGTGCCCGCTAATGGATTGACTTCCTCTTCTTCCTCGTCGGTCAATGTCGCGGTTGCGGTATGTTCATTTTTCACATGATAGTTAGCTGATATTGATGCCCTGACTAATATTATTTTGCAGCGCACCATGCAAAAGTACCTCCTCTCCTTCGTCCTAACCGGCAACCCCAACACCCTCTGGCCCAACGACAAGATCTACTGGCCGAAGTATGGAAATGCGACGAACACCATCAACTTCAATACGACTATGTCCATTACTTTCGATGATCTTGCCAACGACAAGAGCCTCTTCTGGAATAAGGCTTTGTGGTACTGAGGCAGTCTTATAGATATGGGTGCGACACTGCGCATGTTTAACTAAAGCTTTGTGGTTCTTGTGTTCTAGGCACGAGATAGTCTCTCTGTTCATACAATCCATCTTAATGATCTGCTACGGGAACGAAGACTACCTCGACATCGACATTCGTTCCTCGGTGGCTTTTCCTTTCGCTTTCTTGTCGTCCGCGGGGCAATGTCCACTTTGTATTTTAGGTCGAGATGACAACTTAGAATGTTAGAAAGTTTATTAATCCAAGTTTTGGATGGGAGCAGGCTATTCTATTCCGGCTCTGTGGGGATACTCTGTGCCTCGGGAGACCCTATTTGAGGGTTCAGTCGGAGGTGGCCATGTTTTTCTCCCTCCGATCCCCGACGGCCCTACGTAATGTATCCCCACAAATTCTGTGACTTGCCGTGCCATGTCACCTAGGTTCATTGAATATCCGATCCTAATTAATCCTGCCATTTTGAAAATACTCACAGATTATCGTCTGGAACCCGGACCCATTTCCTCTACGGTGCTAGTGTCCCCCGGTGCATCATGCACCGTCTTGAGGAGCGGGTACACAGGAGTAGATATTCTCTTACTACGGAGCGAAAGGGTCATTCGGTGTATATGATGGTGCTCAACGATGTATGATATACAATGTTTCAGACAAAGCTAGCTAACAGTAGAGAATGTCAACCCCGAACGGAGGAGGATGTATGTACCTTAAACAGGAACACCCACCATATCTAGTACGGACTAGGAGTAGCATACTTAAAGTACTCCAAGTACAACTCGATCTCCTTGGCTGTCGCGAAAGCAATCTTCTTCCAAAGGCTGCCAAGCTCGAAGGTGTTCTGCTGGGCGGGCACATTAGGACCCCAGTACGGCAAGGTACCGTTGTTGTAGGAGTCCCCCTTATTCGGGTTCTGCGTCTTGACAAAATTAGCCCAGTACGAGGACATAATATTGGCCACCTCATAGTCAGTGTCCGTGTACGAGGTGGTTGTCTGGGCGTAGAGGTTGTTCAACGCATAGGACACCTCCGAGCCGTGGGTGGCTCCGTCCGAGCCAGGGGGCGAGTAGGTCCAGAGGTAGTAGTAAACGGGCTCAATGGAGGACTGATTCCAGCGCTTGGCCCATGACCAGGTCGAGGTGCAGTAGCCAGCACGTAGGATCGAGTTGTAGGCAGCTGTGGCCTGGGTGGTGTTGCTGGCTGGATGCAGCGCCAGTAGCTCGGCGGCATATGGTCCGTAGGTGGAATTGATCTCTGACTTGTACTCGGTGACGGTATAGGTCGTAGACAGATCGATGCCATCCTCGTCCTTATTGTTACCAACCAGAATGGGCACGTCGTTGGGAGCACCTTCGTCTAGGCTGACGATGTACTTGTTGGGGATCGCGTGGTAGTTGAGCACTGGATCGAAGCCGGTGAAATCGGAAACACCAGTACCGGTAAGAACCGTTTCGAGGTCCATGGAGCGCAGGTCAGCCAGACTCGTCGCATTGAGTGACTCAGCGTAGGTCTTGCTGAAGGCATACGCCCAGGTCATGTTCCGGTAGTCACTTCCGTATCCCCACAGGTCTGGATCGTATGGGTCCTTGAGGCCACTCTCTGCGATCGCACCCTTAATCATACCTCTGGTTCGGGGGCTGTTGACCAGATGGTAAACAGCGCCCGAGCCGAAGGACTGACCGGCCACAGTGATGGACTCGGGGTCTCCGCCAAAAGCGGCGATGTTCTCGTAGACCCACCTCAGAGCTTCGATCTGATCGAGAAGACCGTAGTTGCCCGTCGCACCGGTCTCCTCAGTCAGCTCATGCAGTGTGAGCCAGCCGAGAGGCCCTGTGCGGTAGTTGTAGCTGACGAAGATAACATCCTTGGCTGCCATTCCTGCACCATCGTAGGTACTCTGGCTGGATTCACCTCCGGCCGCATAGGACCACAGCATGACAGGCAGCTTGGCATCGGTGGAGGTGGCGGGACTCCAGATATTGATCGACAGGCAGTCCTCGCTCACTCCATCGCCAGCTGAAGAGCTAGGACAGCTGGGCCCAAATGAAGTGGCTTTCAGGATGCCGTTCCAGGACGGGGCGCTCTGTGGTGGCTTCCAGCGGTTTTCTCCACCGGTTGTGGCGGCATATGGAATATCCTTCCAAACGGCGATGTCTTTCCAGTTCGAGATGTAGGACGGGGCACTGCTTTCGTTGAATGCAGCAGCACCTTGCACCTTGCCCTGGGCGAGCTGGATGGTCTGGTCATAGAGAGTTGCGCTAGCCGGAGCCAGTAGGGAAAGGACACCTAGGCCACGAGTGGACCTCTCGTTGATTCTCATGTTCGCAGACACTGAAGAGAACCAGATAATATATGCAATGAAATGCCGAATACTTTATTCATTTCTTTCGAAGACCGGAGAAGAGAAAGTTCTTATAGCTACAGGTGAGCCTGTTTAACGAATTGCAAGGCATGCGGATCCCTCGGACTTCAGAAGCCATGGCGTGTCAAAACAACGTATTTGCTCGGCGTAGGTCGCATACGCCATGCATTGTGGTATCTTTATTACGATCTGCACAGGTCATAGTAGTTGGCCGTGCGTTCATGACCTTAATCGGCGGCGTCGGACATGGTGGCCCAGACGTCTCCGATGTCCGTCCGCCGGTTCCCGTGAAGATATCAGCCAAGAGCCTGGTAAACAGTGGGTAAAAGAAGGTTATCGGTTTCACCCTAGGTTATTAGGGCAGAGGACGCGCAAAACTGTGGGGATTCGAAACACTTGCTCGGAATCATTAGCTGATCTGGGTGGATGGGACTGCGCTATCCAATCTAAACCTTCCATTATCGTTGAAGTTTGCCGATCGTTCCTCCCATTCATATTTTAGAGCGCGTCAACGAACGTTCCTACTATATTACCAGTCTCAATCAGCTGTACCATACTATGCATCTTTCCTCCCACTAATTGCACTTGATCAAATATCGAGCTACTTCGTGTCTACGCGTAATTTCACTGCAGACATGTGCTCCATCGCCTCCGCAACCATGAATTCAAAATCCAAGGAAAGTACAAGTAGCCACGTATGCAGTGATGATCAAGTCAAACAACTGCAAGTACTTGACTGGTATGCCTAGAATTAGAAATGGTCTACTTGTTATCGGATCATATGCACTACGGTGGAGATGACCAAGGTACTTTCCCGTTGCAGGCCGTACTCAGCTGCTTATTCAACATCCAAAAGTCAACCTCATCTCTTGCTCCCAGTCAAACGTCTCCAAAAATGCCATAAAATCATTATCTCCAATATCACCTCCTGGTGCCTCAGTATCCAAAGAGATGTCACTAGAAGCTACCACGCCTACCGGTGCTGGTGAGAGAACCCGATCTAGTGCTTGAGAGATAATCTTCTGCCCCTTGATGCAGATCTCGTAGTCACCCTCTTGTTGGCGAGAGAAGGTTTTCAACTGCGCGACAAACACGCTCAACTTTTGTATGATGTCGGAACGGGGAAACGGTGTTTGTGATGCGGTGGCTACGCTAGTCTGGGGCTGTGATCGTCGCAGAAGTTCGGTGCAAAGCGTACCGGCGGCAGGGAGGCCGATGTAACAGAGCTGGGTTGGTGAGAAGTGGGAGCAAAGGTACAGTTGTATAGACTAAGACTTACATCCAAGATGACGCTTGGGTGGACTCGGCCTGAGCGTGTCTCCAATGATACCATATGCAGTAGGGTGCTAATGATTTCCAAAGCCTTATTGGCGAAAGCATCAATACCCTTTCCAACCCGTTTGTAGAGGGTCTGCAATAGCAGGAACTCGTGGTAAAGAAATTCCACGTGATAAGACGCAACTTGCGGATCTGTTTTATCCTCTGTCCACTGTAGGCATGCAGGTAGACTGCGTCGTAGTTCGTCTGACTTTTTGCAAGCATTTCTGCTCAGCAGCTACTAGTTAATGCTAATCCGATCGTGGCTTTGATCTCGTGCCACTCACTGAACCTTTTCTTCTAATCCGTCTAGCCTGTTACTGAGTGATATTTCCAACGCGTTCTCTTTATCGATACTAGCAGCCAGTCCGGCTCGAGCGTTGGCTCCCATGTCGATGCGGCCGTCGATATTCCAGCCTTCGGGATCTAAGCGTGCAATAGCTGCGTCTCTTATAGCGGGTTCGGCAACAATTTCCTCGTGGCTCATGTCCAATGGGTATTGGATATTGCAATAACGCCAACATATCCGTGGGGGCCTGCCTAGGAATGTTGCAAGCTCTTTGTCAAGCGCATATGCCCCAACCATCGTTCTTTTCCGGGTCTCCTTCAAAAAGAATGGAGCTGTGGTATCGGTATCGGGTTGGTGCAGTCCGAGTGCAAAAACTGTGGTCGTGATATCTCCGAGCATTTGCCATGTTCTGTGATCTAAGTTTTCCTTAGCTGCTATGAGAACCATGATATACTGTCAATGACATACCGCTACTGCCATGCATATGCGATAGATAAATTGCATGCTGAAGCATAGCCCACGACAAAGGGTCACTGAGGGTCCCTAAATGATTGCAAAACTGCAGACATGTCTGGCTTGCCTGCATGCATATTTGTCGCAATCCTTCTTTGCTCGTGATTTCATCCTGATGCTCCAATCCCAGACTATGCGGTGGTATTTGATATGTTGCTGTGCCAGCAAAGCTGAAGAGTAAAGATAACATTTCCCAGCGCGGCGATGCCAACGAGAAGTATTCCGCCAACGTCATCGAGTCATGGGTCACGATAGGAGTCAATGTATTCTTAAAAAAGGCCCTGGAGAGATCCAGAAGGCGCGCATACTTGTTTCCCGAGCCCTGGATTGCATTGCGGTAAACCTCTCCTAGGACCTTGAACAACTGATCCATCAGTTGGATACCGAAAACCCATCCCGTCGAAATCGCAAAGCGCTTCTCTGAAATTTCGGCATACAACGGTAGATGCTCTAACAGAAAGAGTACCTGGGCACCCCGTGCCACCTGCTGAGGGTCGATAGGGGTGGATTTTGTGGATGAAGGAAAGTCCACTACATCAAGCTCACTATTGCTGAAAGCACCAGAGTAACTGGTGGGACCCAGGAACCCCGATCCTGAGAATGGAGGCTTCGACGGACTGGGAAATGCCGCTGACCCTAACACAGTCACTGGAGATGAAGCGCCCAGACTATCCCATGTCAGGGTCTTTGCAGGCACCAGCGTTTGTTCCTTGGTTGCTATCTTGGTGGCCTTCAATGGTCGTGATAATTCGCGCGGCTTAGTGAGCGGAGCTGGGTGGTAAACACAGAGGTCCGATTTACCCCGTCGGACGCATCGGTTACATACTGGAGCCGAGTGATCGCATCGGAGCTTAGACTTCCTGCAAGGCTCACAGGATGATAACTGTCCATTACGGCGTGGAGCAGACATGGCGATGCGCAGCCAGATGCCTGTGAGTCAAATGTAAATGAGGTCCGTAGTTGAGGTCCGACTCCGAACACCCAACAGAAAGAAAAAGAAATCGACGAGGGAGCGGGGGGAGATAAAGAAGGGAGATAACTGGACAGGCAGCCTTATTACCCATTGTTGTTTAGCCGTTGTTAGTATAGCCTCGTTCCTTTGCTGCGAGACGAGAGACAGTGGCTTGCGGTCCGATGGCTCGTGCGCCGAGCTCCGAGTGCCGACCCTAATTAGTTCGCCAAGTATATGCCTCAGCTTGTTTGCACCAAGTATATAAACCCTTTCCCAGCAAGATCAGTAGAACTAACAGACAAGAACAATCAAGAGAAGTTGCAATCAAACCCTCAGTTTCTCTCAAATCGATCACTCCTATATCTTCACTTCCTTGCAACAATCAACTTCATCATCATCAACATGCCTCTCACTCCATTGAACGGCCTCTACCGATCTTTCAAGGCCAGACAGACTAGCAAATCCAAGTCTGATGAGAACATCAAACCCATGGAAGATCACGCCGAAGATTCCGCATCTGTTCTCAGCGACGCAACTACCCTGGCTCAGAGCAAGACTAGGTCCCAGAAGGGGTCCCCTTTCCAACAGGGCCCGGATAGCATCGACTATGGTTCTACTCAGTACTGTAAGTATGTGACATTTCACAGATATTTAGCTACTCATTCAACTGACATGACACAACATAGCTATGAGGGGCATGTCCACACGCGCATGATAGTGTTAGCCACAGTTTTCACGAGGGATACGACCTACTAGGTATAGAACGGACTGCGTGATGGATATGCATGGAGCTTCCATTGATTGGATTATATGTAATACTTAATATCTTGTTGCATTTGAGAAAGGAGTACATTTGGGTTGACTAAGACGGGTTTCGAAGCTATTTCATTTACCTTGGTAATATAAGATTTACAACAAAGCCCGCAGGCTTAAGACAAACTAGCCTTAGACAGAACAGCGGCACATTAGGAGACCTCTCGTACCAGGAACTAGTGTGTAGTAGATATGTGTACAATCATCTTTCGAACTGAAACCGATGACGGGCTATATATCTATCAAAGAGCAGCCCTTTCGCTCTCAGAGACGCGACCACAGCCCATTGAACTCATTAAGTTGAAGACCCAAGGTGAATCATCATATTTTGCAGACTTCACCAGCCAAAGAACAACCCCAGCTGCTGTTCGATGGGCTAGTTTGTCTCTGCAGTCAACACACTGCCTCTTTGCTCGGCACACCCCAGCTCTTTCATTGGTGATGGTGACCATATTCTTGGGCAGTGCTTTATCCTTGGATTTTACGACAACGGTCAGGGGCCGGATCGAACGCGCACACCTTAATAAGTCGTCACGTGATCCCTTCAGGCGTCACCGGGCTCGTAACCAGTGGATAAACTCACAGTTTGCAGACTAGACCATCATCCTCAGCTGAGCACTCGTCGACCCTTTTTGATAGCGCACGCGTCAAACGTGGATTTATTTTCTTCCGGATGATTGGCCCACTTTTATTGCTAGAGATTTATCACGTGTTCGTAGATGAGAGAGCAGACTATCGATATTCCTCATGATTGAGGTCTCAATCTAAGTACTACCAAGGTTGTGAAGTAAACCTCTACGCTACTACAGCTCATCCCCTCCCAGAATGCTGAAACCCTTCTGTTCCTCAGCACCCGCGCTACCCTCGACAACATACCAATCCTTTACGGTCGCAGATCCGTTCACAACGGTCTTCCAAACCTCCGGAGTACAAGTCTCGGGACTCAGGACATAGCACTGCGGCTTTGGCATAACGGGAGGAATATTCTTAATATGCCACGTATCTTTGGGTCCAATCGTCTGGAAATTATCGCCAACAGCTAAGAGGCCAGTCGGGATATCCTTGTTGAATGTCGCCCGCATGAAGATCTCATACGCTGCGACAGGCTGGTAGGAAGGGACCTCGTGCCCGGCTTGAAAGACGCGAGTGAAGCTGTAGTTGCCCAGCTGGCGGGTCATGCCGCTGATCCCGTCGGGCGTAAGAAGTGGGGAGTATCCCGTGTCGGCAAATTCAGTAATTCGCGAGTAAGGGACTGCAAGGCTGGCTTTTTCGCCCCCGACCCAATTGCAAGCGTAGTCACGATCACCGTACATCATGTGCACTTTGACCCCGCTGTCGAGGAGGTACCCAATTGCATCCAGGAAGCCGCCGTGCACGATGTCAAAAGTATTTATGAACTGTGTAGCCACGGCAGTCGAAGACGATGTGAAGTTGACGGGTACCCCAAGAGCGGCCAGGACGGACTCCTGCGTCAAATACCCGAGCATGTGCTTGGCAGGGAAGGGGTCGTTCTTAGGATGGGCAATGTCGTACCATCCACGATTGAAGGTGTGGTAGTACGTGATAGGACCGTCTCCCCATTCGAGTGCAAGACCTCCGCAAATTTCAGAGACATTCTTCCTTGGGTGAGGCAAGCCGGAATCACGTTCTTTCAGAGCCGCTTCGCACGCGAGGGCCTGATCGCGGAAGCCTCCTGGGTGCGTCCAGTTATACATCAGTTCTTCGTATAGGGGTTTATCGAAGATCTCGAGGCCGTAGGTCTGGACAAAATTAGACAATACGCAAATCGAAATAGGACGAGGCTAGCCTTACGTTATTGTACGGCCAAGTAATGTAAGCCTCTTCTTGGATCACCATATCCATCAAACCGTTCACAATGCCAAGTGTGTCAAGGTGCAAATACTGTGCACCCTCTTCTGCAGTCCCCTCTGCAATTTTGTCATTCTGCTGTTGGAAGAACCGAAAGATACCTGGACCATAGTGGCCCCCGTAACTTTCAGCCCAGAGACTGACGCGATCATCATTCGGCTTGTAGTGTGGGAACTCGAAGAACCAGGTTTGCGCGAAATGCCATAGAGCGTGAGCCGCGAATGCAGTCCCATTAGCTGTCTGTGCAAGCTTCTGGCTTGCAAAGGTACCAACATGGTGGGTGAAGTTGGACTGAGGGATATCAATGGAGAAATCACCGGAAATAATTTCTTCTTCGCCGTCAGTAGTCCGAACCAAAGTGCCATTGGTTGGGACATCGTATGAGAAGCCGACTTGGGTTGGCTGATCAAGGAATAGGAGGTTGACTTCATTGTTCCAGCTCCAAGGATTGAGGACTGTGGTCTTGGAGTCCGATGCAATGGAACAGGGGCCTAATTCTTCGAGGAGTCCCATGAGCGATGAACCACCCGGACCTCCATTGAGCCAAATGGCCAGAGGCGCATTGCTGGGATCTTTGCGGGCTTCGAAAAACCAGAAGAAGCTAGTTGAGGGTCAATGATCGCTCATCCTCTAATGCTTCGAGGTCTACATACGTGTTGATGGGATAATCCTGAACTTCACCTGTCCCGTCGGAAAGGAAACCGGGGGGAAGGTGTACATAGCCCGAATAAGATCGGACACCTGGTGTGGTTTCACAAATTCCGGGCTGCCACTCAGTACGGGAACGAGCATAAAATCCAATTCTAGGTCCTCTGTACACACCTCTTTGAAGGAAATGGTCACATTCTCATGCAACTTGGACTTGAGCACGGTGATGCCTTCGGGCTCGGGAGGGAATTGAGCGGTCGCTAGACCCAAAAGTCCCCCAAGCACCAGACTAGTCAACATGGTGGAGAGGCTGAAGGCAATGATACTTCAAATATCACAGCCTGAGCTTTACTGGGTATACCAGAGACAACAGAGAAGGCATCGACATCGTGAGGGGAGAAGCGCGTGTAATACGCCGCATGACTAATTCGGGGTCGGAGCTAACGCTTATCAGGCCCTTGCGCCGGAGTCCGTCGGCCGTGGGGAATGGCGTTCTTGGTGGACGAATGGCGACATCCATCTAGTTAAGAGGCAGATACGTAGCTGACAAGATGGGGCTACCTGCAGGCGCTTCGGTGCTGCGGCATTGCAGAGCGGAACTGGTGATGGAGACCAGCTTATCCAACTCCGGCGAGCTTAACAGACCTGATAAATCAATAACAACCTGAGATGAACGATTGGAGCAAATGCCCCACTCCTGGCTCAATGTCATAGGCCCGCCTGTAGTAATAAGCTGTTTTCTTTTCATTCGGGAGACCAAAGATGGGTAAGTGGGCTAACGGGTAGAGATAGCAGATTAGGTAGCCTAACGGTCGGAGATTTCCCAGAGTTGGAGCACCCAAAGGACCCTTATTTAGCCTTTTATTGCGGTCAACTATAGTGTTGACTACTATAGTAGCTTTGGGGTGACAAGCTTCGTAAGCCGATCAACCGTTCGGAGTATCGATGCTCCGCAACGCAGCGGGATCATGTTTCAACTCTGCCTCTCCTGCGTTCCATGTTTGACAAGGCAGATGTCAGTGGGATGACGAATAAGGCGTCGGAGAACATCGTTTCCAAGTTTCACATCCCGTGTACGTCATGAAGAGCAGAGTGTGTTGAAGGTCGGTGTCACAGCCTAAGAACTACGACGAGAAAAATCTGTTGCATGCAAGGCATCCCTTTTCAATTGTGAATTAGGGGGGAGATTGTGGATATATTTCCTATCGATAAGCGCACAGTCTCCGCAAATATCAAAGACCCTGGCAGAAGAACCCTGGGTGCACGGAAGATATCCTTGGTTGACCAGACTCCACTCACTTTCCGAACGGGTATTGTGAGTTTCCTTATTGGTATGGTGCCAGCGATTGAAGCGATCAAAGTGGTTAGTGTGTTCGAGATAGACAGTGGGCATGTCTTAGAGCTCGGAGGACGGAGTAACGCCATCGGGATAGGATTTGACGCCTGGAGGGGCGATGACGCGGAGGGACGAGGCTGGACCCAAAGGGCCGCGTGGCCCTGGAGGCGATCGGCTGTTGCTCGACTGGTTGAGGTTACTATGTATAGTGTCTTTTTCAGCTGCCATCTCAATGTGAATGGACATTGATCGGGTGTGGCAGGACAAGATGACAATGCAGGTGCGTAAGAGAGAGGCAGATGATCGACGAAGATGAAAGAGACCCTGAAGATTGGGTGGACTCTGTACAGTGTATAGAAGTGGATGAACGTGGGCTGGGGAAAGTGGCTGGAGAGAGAGCGTGTGTGGGAGAGTGTTAAGAGTGAAAGAGGGACGCCGATCAGGAACCCGAGCAGCAAACCAGAATTAGCGGCTGACGACCGGCGGGGCTCCACCAACAAACAACGTCCAAACGGAGTCTCGCTGCGCTTTTCACCTGCCGCCGCTAAGCTTTTTTATTCTCCTTGCTGTCCTCTTCCTTCTTTTCCTCTTCTTCTAGTTCTTCTTCTTCTTCTCCAGCAGCATTCTGCGGAGTTCCTCCTGCCCGGTTCTTGTCGACCTCTCTTGTCCTCCCATCTCTCTTACGACCTCGCCAGTTCGCTCGTGTGCGACCGTTCATCATGGCTGCTAAATCCCAATTGCCGACCGTCAACACGCCTGTGTCCGCGGAGCCTTCCAAGGCCGCCATGCACCCGGCTTTCTACATCGCGTACGACTCTATATCTGTGGTGGCTGCCTATGGAATGTCCATTAATGTCTCTCTAGTACCTGGATTGCTCTCAGTTCCGGTGTGATCATTTTCAACAAGTGGATTCTCCATACCGCTGGATTCAGTGAGTTGAGCCGTCTTTTGCGCTGTTGCAGTATGCGATTAGTAGACTGACCGTGGTTACTTCTCTTTCACAGATTTCCGTACGTCAATTCCAATCTTCATGCCGAGATAGACCGTCGCAAGCGACTAACATACTCCAGCCATCTTCCTGACCACATGGCATCTCGTTTTCGCTACCATCATGACCCGCCTCATGGCGCGGTTCACCACTTTGCTCGACTCCCGTCACCAGGTCCCTATGACCTCTCGCG